GGGGGGGGGGGTCCTGTCATCTTCAGGCTTTTGCTGGAATTTGGATGAATTTGCTGGACACACCACCAACCACAAAGTCCTAAAAGGGCGGCATTCCAAACTGTGTCCAAAGCCGTCTTAATGAAGCAACCGCAGGGGTGTGCGCAGGCGAAGCGTATGTCGCTCCAGTCGGCGTGGATAACGCGGGGGGGGGTGACCATTGGCTTTTTTCAGAACCAACAACATACACCTTCAGCGTTCCGATCTTGTTTTATTGTAAAACATTCAACATTAACTGTAAAACAATACCAAAAAAAAAAACCCCATGAAATTTAATGTTATGAGGAGACACTTGGATTTTGTCGGAAAATATATATAGTAGGAAAAACATGGCAAGAAAAAGCAAAGTTTGTCAAAAAGAATTAAGAGTAAAAGTCGTGACGAAACATGAAATGAAATGGTTTTGTCATGTTACCTTGTGAAAAGCTTGAGTTCTGTCGGACAAAGGGTGATTTAAATTGACAACAACAACAAAAAAAAAATCACCCTAAAAGCAGTTTGCAAAGTGGGAAGAAAAGATCGTGTTGCTGCAATAAAGGCAAAAAGTGTGCTTTTTTTTTTTTTTCCAAGAGGAAATACTAGTTAATTTTTGGAAGCGTTTTCCTCGCAAGCAGTACGACCCAGGTAGTCACCACATTTCGCCACGTAACCTGCAAAAATAGGGCAAGCGCATGCCCATCTCAATGGCTCATTCCCGCCACCAACTGATCTTGTCTTTCCACTGCAAGGAAAGCAATGTGAGTCAATGGCGGCCAAATGTTGCCAAGTCCACCGGTGCCAAATCCAGGCAGGCTTATCTCATCTCAAGGCACCGTTACCTGGCTAGGATTCCACGCTGTCCTGTGTCCGCTCCTCAGCTGGCGCTTTGGAACGATTATTGCAATTGATTGCGCTGACGCATTCGATCAAAACTCCACCAACACGATTGTTTCAATCACAGCGGCTCTTCAAGATGCAACACAAATCATTCGACCTTCAAAGTGAAATACAACCGAACCGTATTTCGGAGGCAGTGATGATTGCGCGTACCACTAGGGGGAGCCACACTATGAGCATGACTGCAGGAGAGTCCGTCAAAAATGCCTCGCGGGCCACTTGCAATATCTTTTTGCCGCCGTCCTGTATTTTGTTTGCGTGTCGTTCGTACGAGCGAGGTCCCCGTGACGCTACACCGCCACAATCTTTAGGAATTGCGTTTCTATGTCGCGACTTTTTGGAAGACTGTCTCGTGAGCTCTTATTTTCATTCTGCGGTTGATCAAAGGATAATCAGAGAGAATAACGAGCAGCACTTGCGCTTGTTTTTTTGGAAACTTTGTACCCAGTTGACTGCAACGATGTCGTTTTTTTCCTCCGTGCGGGCCCGTGTTTCAAAGTTGAACAAAAGCGAGTTCTACAGACGTGATACCTGTACGTACGTTGTTTTTTTTCTTTTCTGTATGGATTGTAATAACACACTGCAGTACTTTGTATGAGAACAGTGGATTGTAACTATTTATAAATCAAATTATTATCGTACCTTTTTGCAATCTGTAGATAAGTCCCGAATGTATTGATCTATGTTCAACGTGAGGTGTCTTCAGTTATTGGTGTACATATTGTCTGTTTGTTTCTACAGCTTCTTTTGTTTTCTATCAGATCAATAAAATGTTTGAGGGGAAAAAAAAAAAAGGACTTCTCCGCATTGCTTTTGTCGCACTCGGTGACCCAGTTGCATTGCGGTCGGGCGGATTTATAGGATGGCCCCATCATTTTCCATGGCATCATTTTTTTTTTTCCTTCCACGATCCAAAAAAAGCCGCCGGGCGACCCACTTCGGCGAACCTCCGCGGACGCGTTTCTGGCAAGGAAAACGCAAGAGTCATGAAGGATGTCTAGGTGAGCTTGTCCTAGATTAGCGAGTTCGTCACGGCTGCGCGCCCCCTTCATGGAGCCGGTCCAAGCGTGCCCCCTAACCCGCCCGGGTGCACTCTCCATGTTGCCTCGCCAAACCACGAAGAGAGATTGATGGCCACAAATCACAATCTTCTGTTCTTTGTCGTTCAAAGGTCGTGCAAAGAACGCATTTTTGTTTCCAAATAGCCCGAGTTGAATGGAAGAAAAATCAATGTATTGCCCCAACATTGACCACGGATGAGCAGGTCGTTGAAAAGAGGGGGCGAAGCGTAACCGTCGGCTTCTGCATCCGTGCCGTCCGGCCTGGCCGGCAGCAGTCGATTGATGTGCCACACACAGCGGGTCCAAGTGACACTTTGAGCTCCGACAAGGACCGCGGTGTTCATCTTCAACGACTTCCGCCCGCCCGCCTGCCTGACCCACTTCCCTCCCACCAAAGGACCCCCCCCCCAGCCCCCAACGCCGCGATTCATCTTAACGACCGTACTTTGACCAAGTTGTAAAAAGTACATGTTTGATTTCAAACGTAGGGAGTAAAAGTAAAAAGACCAAACTAATCGCTCGGGCGGGGTATTCGGCTGATGCCCAAAAAGAAATGAAGATGAAGATGAAGAATTTACACTCAATGATTGTTGAGCACTCTGGGAAACTTTGTGTGCGCGTGGAGTACAGTATCGTTCCAAATAGTTGTTCATTTGTTGAACGATTCGGTACCAATAAAGGTTGAGCGTTTCAAGCAGCTCACCTCTCATGGATATTTGCCGCCACCTGCTGGCAGTAACACGTAACTACTACGGTAAGAGCGTTGATTGGAGTTGTTGTTGTCCGTTCCGTTTTGAGCGCATTCAGATCATTTTTATTGATTTATTCTTGAACTATAATTTCGATTTGACTTGTTTATTTGGTATTCTTTTGTGACTAAATCCAAATAAAATCGCTGAGCAACAATGAAGCCGGGGGTTCGCGGCCGCCGTCCCGCCTGTTTTCCAGCTCGCTCTCCCAAGAGCAACGCACCTGATTCAAATCATCAGGAAGGTTCTCGGGCTGCTTCGGAGCCGGCTGATGAGCTGCTGCTCATCCCAATCAGGTGCGTTGCAGCCGGGGTAGACAAAGAAAGAAAGAAAGAAAGAAAGAAAGAAAGCCGCGCAACAGGCAGGAAAGCGGCCCTCCGGGCCCGGAGCCGGACATGCGTGAATGAAGCAACATCACACGAGAGGGACTGACGTTCAGTGACCGCTTTGCTCGTCGCTTTCCAAAGTCAAAGCAGCTGTTTGCAAATATTTTCAGGAAACGCAAAAGCCAATCGGTCCGCTTTCATGAAGGAAAAGACACAAATCGGAGAAGCATTACGGTTGAGCAGCCGAACTCAAGTTCATCCGGGGGAGCCCTTGTCGCCACGTTTTCATCGCCTTTCATCCCTCCGTCCCTCCTTTTTTTCGATTGCGGCGTCCCCGTCAGAGACGGACACGCATTGGCTCATCGGACACTCGAAAGCGCCAATTGACCGCACGCGCTTCTGAAATGTCGTTTCAAGCTCGTGCTGAAAAAGCGCTTGGTGTTCGCGCTCGCGCCCGAGGCGAGGACTCCGCTCGGTTTCCCCGAACACGCAGATGAACCGACCATCGTTCCGGTGGATTTTCTCCTTTGGATGCACCTTTCGCTCTCCCGTGAAGCCGCCGCATCGGAAATAATGAAGACTGCCTTCTTGGGAGCGTCACGTCACGTCACGTCCAGACAGACGGACGCGCGATCGTTCCCTCCGCTTGTGTGACCCGCCGCGGCCGTCGGACGGGGAAAAGAAAAGCTGCGCTGCAATCAGACGCCCGCGGAGACGCCGCGACCCCGGCGGAAGCGGCTCATTACCCGTGTCACCGAGGCCCTCGGTAAGTGCCGCTTGTCGCGTTTGACGCCAAATCGGTTTCCTCCCGGCCCGACTCGGGGAGGCCAATGCGTGCGTAAGTTGGGGGCTTCGTTGTTTTTAGTGGCGAGCTCGACTTGACGAATGACAAGAGGAGAGAGAGATGAAATCCTTTCATGCAGTTTATTCAAAGGGGAGGAAAAAAAAAGACGCCTGCACCGCAGCACGTTCGAGAACTCAACTCTGGTCACTAAAATCACTTCCTGCTTCTCTTACTTTAACAGCCAATCAGAACCGATCCGCATCAAAACACGTCTCGGCGATTATTAAACAACAGAATATCATTTAGGTGCGCTTCACGTGAAATAATATGATGCTCAAACATCAACTGTTCACCAATAACATCACATAAGCTGACACGTGTTTCGCGAGGCGGCGTGAGAGTCCCTTCTGGGATCGGCCACGGAGTGACGTTCGCGGGGCTCGGACCCGCCGGGGACCGACGCGTTCGAGCCGATGCTTTCCGGACGCCGCTCGAAGCCAGAGGGCGCTCGGTCCCAGGCCAGCCCAACGAGCGACATCTCGCCGTCGCCTGACGCTTTTTTGCCCAAGTGCAACGAGGCCAAGTTTTCGGGTGCCAACAAACGGCCGCCACTCGGAGCGAGCGATTCGGCTGGATGCCGAGAGCCGCTCGTTTAGTTTTTTTTTCAATTTGTGGCGCGATCGGCTCCGACTTGCCTCATCGCAACGCGGGGTCGTGGGGAGTTTCAACCTGACGCCTTTTGCTCCCGATCGCCAGCGCGTCACCTTGCTGCGGACTATTTGACGAGTCGTTGTCATTGCCGCACCTTTATTTTGGGCAAGTGATGTCGCACATCCTTCTCAACGGATTGGAGTCTGACTGTTTTTCGTCGGTGGTGGAGGTGGCGCTTTGTTTTTTGCAGTGCAAACGTTTACCTGTGTGTGTGCAAGTGGAAGGGAATGAGAAGAAGTGTGTCGCTTCCATGACTTGTCGTGAGTTGCATCGCTCATCCCGTGGTGCGCGGCCAGGATTTTGTCGCAGTCCTTTTCCTATTCCGGCTGTCTTCCACGGTTCCGTTTCATGAAAAATAGAACGTGTATGACGTCAAATTGTTTTGAGACCAAACTCCAAGATTTCAACTGTTGTTGTCGCAAGCCATAACTCTCATCACGTGAATGTATTTGTCGTTGGGGTGTTTTTTTTTTGTCAACATTTCAATCCTCTGGACTTCGTGCCTCTCCCACGTGTCGGACATCGCAACGATGCTCACAGACCCCCTGTCCCATACTCGTCCTCTGAAAAACACGACGAGCGCTCCGCCGCCCTACTTCGGCGACTCACAAGGTGGAGAGTTTGTCCGCATGACTGCGCGATATGATATACTGCCTCCCGGTGGCTGAGGTCGGCGCCCCAAGAGGACGAGCGCAATGAATTGAGTTGCCTCACCGCATGCTGCTGCGCCGGCTGTTGGTGGGATCGGTTTTTCCTCCCAAATGTTTTCTTGTCAGCCACGATAAGAAGATGCACGGTTTGAACGTTACCACGGATGCGCTTCAGAATAGAAAAAGAGACCTACAAGCACACCACCAGCTGTGGCGGGCGGGCGTGCGGCCGCGGTGCCACACCAACCAGAGGCCATAAAACGGCATGAGGCGAAAGGACGAGCACTTTTCTTTATTTGACTTTTTGGGTCCCTTTGGGAGCATGCTTTCTATTGGCTGGCCACGGGCTCAGACGGCAAACCACGCAATGGCGTCGACATCGTTGCCGCGTCGGGGACAGCGCGCAAATGCACACGATTTGATCGAGACAAGAACGGACACAGAAAGGCACACTTTCCGCGGCGCGAGATTGAGACGGGAAATCGGAAAGCAAAAACAAAAAAGCTGCGCACGTGGCATCTCAGTGCTGCGCGCAGTCGGCAGGGTCCAGGGAGAGGAAGACGTCCGCTTTGCACTTGAACGTTGTCTTGCGGCCAAAGACCAGTTCGCAACTCAACGGGTTTGGCGCCATGTTGCTGATGCAGGTGGCCTGCAGAAAGGACAAAAAAAAGAGAAAGGCAATCCAGTCAATATACGGCACCGCATCGGAGCGATGCGCTTCGACGGCGAGAAAACACGCGGGTCTTGTGCTTTTTTTGTTGAGATGACGTTTGGTTTTGTTCCTTCACGCGCCCTTTTGTCCAGTGCACTCCCGCGAGTGGTTTTTGTTCCAATATTTTGCTCAGTCCGCGCCGCCCCTCCCGCCTCCCGCTTTTTGGGGTCCCCTACCCCCGCCCGGCACGCGCGACAGCGGCGTCTGTGTTCGGTCACTGGGACGTCGGGCAAAACACCCACCGTCGTCTTGAGGCTCGAAGGCGGCGCTCGCCTTTCCGGAAGCCAACTCGGCGAGGGCTCCTCGTCGGCCGCTCTTCGGGCGAGGGGCGACCCGCGGAGACCGGACAGCAAGCCGGCCGCCCTGCCCACCGAGCGGTAGCCGGGAGCGGCCGCCTGCTTGTACCAGGCGTCGGCGGGGCCGCACAGCACCAGGGCGGAGAGAAGCGCGCAGGGCAGGAGCGGGAGCGGGAGTTGGGCCGCCATGTGTCCGCGCCTGCAACGTGGAGCTTCGCCTTGGACCGCCGGAGGGCACCGTGTCATCTGCGAGCGAGCGAGTGAGGATGCGCTCCGCTGCCCGTTTCGCCTGGGCTCTTATAGCCAAGGTAATTGCCCTCGTGCGACGGGGCGCGCGAGTTGCTCGACCCCTTCCCCGCGCACAGCAAATGCCGCGCGTCCCCTTGCGCGGTGCGACCCCTCCCCCGCCCGAGTTTGCTGTCACTCGAGGTGCACATTCTTCACATTGTGGTGTGAAATCCAGTCTCGGCTTATGACCGCGTCAGATCCGCAACCCGTGTTGCAGGTGCGATTCCTGAAACGGCCAATAGCTGGCGGCAGCCGGTTGGGAGGTTGGCGTTCGCTTTCTCGGCTCCGGCTAGCACGTCGTGAGCACTGACGCTGCCCGGACGCCAAACGTCTCGTCGATGACCCACAGAATGCGGGAAAGCAAAGCGGCCTTTGAGGAGCGCCGTTTGAGAGCCTTCGGTGAAGGTGAAGCTTATGCAAGGTGGGAGGAAAGCCTCGCGGGCAGGTGCGGCCAGGACATGCAAACTGGCCACGTCCTTCAATTCTTCAACGCAATCAAAGCGTCGACCGCGTCAGCCGGCAGACGGGCCTCATCGGAGCAAATCAGTCATTGGTTGGCGGAATGGATTTGAAGGCGGGCCGGCGATCTCCCGCATATTCCATTCACCACGCGGCGCGAAGAGCAAGCATTTGGTGGGGCGCGAAGGTTCCTGGAGTTCCGCCGGATGATTCCTAACCGGGAGTTGGGCAGCAGCTCGCGCGAGCCGAAGCGAAGGGTCCCTCTCTTGCAACGCCCCCTTCCATCTGTTGAGGGCAGTCTGGCTCCAGGGAAGCCAAAGCGCTCCCAAGCTGCGGTTGGGCCGACTGGCGGACGGCAGGCAGGGAGGGAGACGGTCAGCCGCGCTTCTCCCGATGCGGGGCGACGCTTCTAACGCAGCGAACGTCTCTTTGCCCGTGCGGTCGCATCGCATGAATACACATCCGTTTGGAGTTCTTTATTTCTTTCTTGAGTGACAGGAGCCTCGAAGCATTTTCTGAAGTATTCTCGGTGAAAAGAGTTGGTTGGACATTGGAAGAGAATGTCAAGACGAGCGCAGTGCAAGGAGACTTGCCTTGTCATCCTCGCGCCTGGGCGGCTTCTCTCCGGGCACTCCGCTTTCCTCCCACGTTCCCAAAAACACGCACGGCGGCTTGCCGGACCGCTCCGAAATGCCCCTCGGCGCAAGTGCGAATGCCAACGGTTGTCCGTCGAGGCGCGCCTTGAGGCCGCGGCACGCCCCGCGACCCTCCTGAGGGGGAGCGCGATTCCAAAACGCTCGGACGGATGATCGGAAGCGCTGCGCGTCACTGACATTTGGCGTTTTTGCGATGGACCGCCCACCAATCGCTCACGGGACAATCGAAGCGCTTGTGAGCTGGAAGAGGAGCCCCGCCCAAGTGACGGCTCTTTCGCAAACATTTATTTGGTGTTATGTGTTGTGGTTGTGTGCAAGCATTTGGGGGGGGGGGGGGGGGGGGGGGGGGGGGGAAGGTGTGATTGTCACAATGACCGCATTGCTCGGGACCCCCGGTCGGGGCCGAGTCACGCGTGCCGCCCGACTACGTGATGAACGCGATTGGACGCTTTCAATGTTTTTCTTCCCCGATCGCAAGTTTCTCGGCTCAGTGATCCGCGTTTTCGCCGAGGCGTCGTCAATGGCAAGCGGGTCAAAAAATAATAATCAACAGCCCGGGATTAGGATAATTGGCCGGCGGGAGCGCAACTCCGCAAACCGCGTTCAACTAATCAACCGCTCTGGCAAAAAAAAAAACCGTCTTCATAACAAGCGCCATAAGAACATTTGAACAGACGGGAACCATTTGGCCGAATTAAAAAGAGAAATAAACACGGCCTTGTGACAACAGAAGCGCCTCCGCTTGTTGGCCGCACGCGAGACGGCGCCTGCGGAGTTTTCTCGTCAAGGTGGGGGCAATCGAGCCGCACGCTCAAAGTGTCTTTTCCAGAGCGCCGTCCTCATTTTCGTTTCTCTTTTTGAAACGGCTTTCGCGTTGTTGTCGTGAAATCCTGATCGGCGCGACACGGGCGCACTTGTTGACGAAGGTTTTGAAAGAATCGCCTCCACTTTCATTGCGTGTTCCTCGGGCAGTCGCGGCCGTCCCGTCTCGGCACGCGCTCCAATGCGTTTTGTTGCGATGACGGGGCAAGAGAGGGAGACTTGAAGGCTTCGGCGGTCGAGAGTGGAATCCCAACTGCGTTTTCTTTGGAGGCGCTCTCTGAGAGCCGGCGAGGGCGGGGGATTGGGAAAGCCGACTCCTGCCGTGAATTTCGCTTCTGTCGCCATCTCGTGGCGTCTGGGGGCGCTGAAGTGAAGGCAGGCCTTTTGTATGGTCGGCCCATAGCGCTCAGCATTTTTCACAGAAACAAACTTCTTTGCTTTTTTTGGGGGGGGGGGGGTTCCAATGACTGTCAATTTTCTTGTCGCTCCTATTTGCGGCAAAGCTCTGGGGTGTAATTCCTCCGTTCGTAACTGTGAAAAGGGCCAGCCGCGCGCCCGAGGTCAGGCACAACATCGACGGTCAATGCTCTTCCCTTCGATGCCAGGAGGTGGATCCCCCCCCCCCCCCCCCCCCCCCCCCCCC